ATAAGTAACACAAATAAAATAAATCTCTTCATATAAACAAACTAAGGCTTTGTCTGTGCTCTTTCCATTTAAAATTAGAGGCAACCACTGCATTTTAATCATGATCCAAACAAAGATGCTGCATACATGCAACATGAGCAGTTTTTAATCTAAATTAGATTGTATAAATTCGAAATTTGAAGCAGAAACAGAATGGTCTGACTTCAGTTTTGTGAAAGTATGCATAAAAAATATCTGCATGAAACTGAAACGGCAGACGAGCTGAACGAGACGCAGATTCAAGCTGTGTCCCAAATGACGCACTATACACTTATACACTATGTACTTATGCACTATGTACTCAACCATGTAGTGTATGAATTACATAAGGTTATTCTGTCATTCATAAACGGAGTCTGATAGCCCCTCCCCCTTCACTATGTAATTAAAGCTGCAACAGTCGAGTGCATTAAGTGTCCAACATTCCACACTTCGTTTTTTCGGTTATTTAAGTGCATCATCCGGGTATTTAAAGTGCACTTTTTCTTTTTGGAATTTTCAGTGTGAACGCACTACTCGCACTATTTACACTACAAAACGTCATAGAATAGTGCATAAGTACGCGATTTGGGACGCACCTTCACTCTCTGCTAGCAGGTGGCGCTTAAAGCGTTTCCTTGGTTTCCACTGTAAACAAAGCAGAGCTGCACTTATGAACAACAATGATACAGTGTTTCCTTGGTAACCGCTGTAAACAAAGCAGCGCTGCACTTGTGAACAGCAATGATACAGTGTTTCCTTGGTTACCGCTGTAAACAAAGCAGCGCTGCACTTATGAACAGCAATGATACAGTGTTTCCTTGGTTACCGCTGTAAACAAAGCAGCGCTGCACTTATGAACAGCAATGATACAGTGTTTCCTTGGTTACCGCTGTAAACAAAGCAGAGCTGCACTTATGAACAACAATGATACAGTGTTTCCTTGGTAACCGCTGTAAACAAAGCAGCGCTGCACTTGTGAACAGCAATGATACGGTGTTTCCTTGGTTACCGCTGTAAACAAAGTAGTTATGAACTTTAATATGCATTATACCTATACGAATCTTTTGGGTTTGTTAATAGTTTTGTCAAAAATTATTGTTTTTCAACACATAGTATACAGAAATATTTAAAACGGTTCAATACTGCTTTCCCGCAGGATCGATAAAACGATATCAGCAGCGTTTTCTCTCTCTCTCTCTCTCTCTCCTCTCTGACAGCGAGCTCACGTCAACGTCACACACCGCAGTCCTCCATAGCCACGCCTCCTGTCAATCACTCAGCACGTCACTCGTCTCATCTCATTCGCCTCCAGCATTTTTACGTTATTACTGTTACCGGCACTAAATTCTGATTTAAGTAAGTTTGCTGAATATTCTGAGGAGAACGTTGGGTTGCTATTACTGTGATTAACTACACTTGCAACAAAAGGTATCTTAAATGTTTTTTTCCACCCACAAACGTGAGATAGGGCTAGTCAACACTATAAAAGACGGCTGTTGATCGTTAACTCCAGTGGTGTAGAAGTTAAAGCGCATAACAAAGTCTTTTTTTGACGCGATCGACCCGGGTTCGAATCCGCCTTTTGCCGAACTTTTTTTTCTCCCTTTTCAAATCTCATATCACATCGGAAAGGCATTTATTTTCAATAAAAATGAAGGAAATAATCAAAAAGTTGCAAGTAATTAAAAATATAAAGTAAAAATTAAAATAAATAAATCAAATAAAAATTATAAAGTAGTTAATTTAATTAAATGAAGTAAAGTATCGGGTAGGTTTAGGGTAGGTGAAGGGAGGGCTTTATTGTCCCAATAAGGTGGCATCCATTTAATCGTTACATCCCTACTCACAAGGGTTCGATGACTGAGCCAGACTCTCTCTGTGCTCCAGGTGTCCCTGCGCTCCTGTTTCTCGTCGCTGGAGGAGACCATCAATCAGATGCTGCCGTCTCCACCCGAGCAGGTCCTCCCGCTCTGACAGCTGGATGCATCAAACCCTCTCCAGCCAATGGATTCTAGTGTTTTCCCGCTTATTGTTGACGGTTCCGGTACATTAGCGTTTGTTGGCGATGTTCGCATTAGTTTTAACATCGCAGACGTTCTGCACCCAAGCAAATATTTGCATTGTCAGGAAACCTTCGCCCTGTCAAACACACACACTGCATGATTTCACACGACATTTATTTAATGCGCTGCTCTTAGACTCGAATGTATGTTATTGATAGACTCCTTTTCAATTTTAAAGACATGTATGTGTGAAAATAAACAGCATTGATGTGGATGGTGAATGGTTTCAATGTGCTGGTTTAAGCAGAAATGCCCTGACCCTGAAGTCAAAAGATCAACAGAATGGTTTTGCATTAAGAAATTGAGCCTGTTCTTCATCATGCGATTCTTTTTAAGATTAGATTTTAATTAAAACTAGCATAAATTAAATTCTGAACCACAAACACTACCATGATATATACTGGCATGACATTGTTCCATACTATTTGCCTTAATTACTTTCAAATTCATTAACACTTAAATTATGAAAGCTGCAACACAGTTCTCACATACTATCGAGTATAAATGTGATTTAGGGTTATCCAGGAGACCGTGATGGGTACAGAAGAACCGACAGCCAGAGAGTCAGTTTTATTGTTCCACTGAGTCAAAGAGACACCAGGGCAGATAAATCAGGCACTTTGGCAAATAAACATGCATGAACTCGAACAAAATATAACACCAAACAGAAGAACAACACCTCACTACCTGGGTTATCTCAAACCGTGACACTCTTACAAATACTGTATGAAGAGTTTAGATTTACTGATGAAGCCCAAACACCCCGCTATGACACCAAAACACCATTCCATCCCATTCCTAAATAGTTGTAACCACACAATTGTTAACATCCAGTAAATCTCACCATTTCAACACGTTTCTCGAAGACAGAATGTTCAGAAGTGCTTTTAGTTTCATCTTATTCTGAAAGGTCACGTTGTATTTTACCATCCTAATAAACTGCGACATGGAAGCAGTTCATACACTCCTATCTGCACGATTCTTATCATGAAACAGACGCAAAACTAAAGTCTGGACTACATACAGTCATAAACAGACAGTAGTTTATTGTATCCGTGCACCTGTGAACTCTGAGCAGATAATAGCATGTTTTAAAAGTCAGAAATTGGCGGGAACGATCTACACTTTAGTCAGTCTTTGCACTGTGAGTTTTTGCAGTATCGTTGTTGTGTTCTACCACCAGTATTCACCTTAAAAACAAACTGAACTCACAATGGTTCTGAACTTTATCATGAGTCATCTTTGGTTTTTTTTTTTTTTTTTGACTAGCCAACACCCTAAACAGTCATTTAAAAACATTTCAAAGAATAACCAATCAGTTGTTCATCACTGGGAGCAAGGCAGCTGACGAAATAAAAGGCACTTTTCTCAAACCAAGTCTACATTATAAAAACCACTGTTTTGCATGTTGCACAAACTGCTGTTCCCTCAGAATGAAATGCATGTCCTAAACAGGACGTCCTGTCCTCTACGAAAGCCCATTTCCTGCTGGGCCTGAAACCATTCCCTGACCACTCTTTGTCTGGCATTGCTCCAGAACATTTCCAAGTACTTTCCTTGTTTCCAACCAGCTTCCTTTTTGTAGCGCAACTGGAGTTGCGTCATCTCTGCACATTGTAGTCCCTGTGCGTTTCAGCTTGCGGTTGCTCCCAAGGCTTGTTTGTAAGTCTGAGTGACGTTTTCGCAGTCAGAAATTGAAAACACGCTATCGGACACTCCTGCGAGGTAGCAGGCCATGTCCATTTCCCAGTGTCCCTGGTACTGAGACTCTTCCCTCAAGTCGAGGAGATTGTCAGCGGACACGCATCCTCGCATCCTGCGTCCACCTGCTGGTCGCTCCATTGGGGCGACTGGAATCTCGCGGTCAGGTAGGTCAAGTCTGTCGAAGGACTCAGAGGAGAGGATGCTATCCTCGCTGATCGCGCCGCTCGGTCGGGATCTGTTGACCACCGTTGGTAAGGAGGGTGCAAGCTGATCCAGCGAGCCGAATTCCTGCAGGCCGCCGGAAAACTTGCCGTGCCGTTTGAGGATGCCCTTGCGGTGTGGCTCTGGGTTCCCAAGAGTTTCTCCGGAGCTCTCCGGAGAAGAGGAATAATAGCCTGACTCGCTTTCCGAAGGCTTCTTCAGGATGCCTTTAGGGGGTGGAGGCAGGACAGACGGCGCCAAAGCGTTCTGGCTCTTCTCCTCCAAGGGTGTAGCCTGGGAGTCACTGGGCGCTTTCTGTTTAAGACTTCCCCTCTTCTTTAAAATTCCTTTAGATGGGCGAGGAGCTTCCTGCATGGTCTGTGAGACGTTGTTTTCTTTGCGCGACCTGCGTATGGAGCGCTGTCGCTGGACCGGTTCCCCTCCGGTGGCCCCACCTGTCCGCAACAGGCAGCGCATCTTAGAGCTGCTCTCCAGAAGAGGGCGAGAGGTGCGGCGTAGCCAGTCCGCAATACGAGTCGGGCCACCGGTTTGACATGCAGCGGCCGCATGTCCTGGATCCTGATGCGCAGCTGCAGGTTCACTCTGAGCCAGTAGAGGGAGCTGATAGCCCCAGTTGAGCCACCAGTGACTCGCAATCTCCTCCAAAGTAGCTCTACGCTCTGGGTTTACCATCAACATCCAACGGATCAAACCACACGCATCTGTGGGGCGACAAAAGGGATTAGGATTAATGCTACAAATGTATGGCCTACAACAGGGATGTCCAGTCTTGCTTCAGGAGGGCCACCTTCCAGTCGAGTTAGCTCCAGCTCTAATTAAACTTGCCCAAGCCAACTAACCAATGTCTTCAGGATCACTAGAGGCAGGTGTGTTGGAGCTAATCTCTACAGGAAAATGGCCGTCCAGCTGCAGGACTGGATACCCCTGGCCTACAACATCACAGACTACAAAGCTGCATGCAAACCGACTGGCTTCTGGAAGTCATTCTTTTTCGGTAAGAGTTAGCAACGTGAGGGACTGTTGGCAGTGCAAAGCAGGTGTATCCATGTGGCACAGTTTCAAAGTTTTATGTAACTATGCAAATGATCAGCAATGCAGTGTTTTGACTACTAATGGGAATGAATGCATGGGAGCACAAACAGTGCACAGTATCCCGATACTGTGTTTCCCAACCCTGTTCCTGGAGGCACACCAATCGTACACATCTTCGAACTCTTCCCAATCAAACACACCTGATTCAACTCATCAGCTTGTTAGTAGAGACTAAAAGACCTGAAATGGTAAGGGAGACATCCAAAATGTGTACTGTTGGTGTGCCTCTAGGAACAGGGCTGTGAAACATTGCGTAGCAAGATTAGTTCACGTTACTCTGAGCAGTTTCGCGGTTATCTGTAATGTAGGGTCATAGCTAAAAATGATGCATGGAAAACCATGTGAGAACTTGGACCTCATCAAAAATGTTAAATCAACATTAAAACAGCCACTACAACCAACATCATGGCAACCAGACAACCTCCAGCAATAAAGTTGCTGCCGGTGTGCACTCAACAGTCAGAACTCAAATTTATGAGACTGCCATGCAATGGTCAACAGATGGAAGGCTATCTGCTATAAAAGCTTATCTGCTAGAAATAGATAAGCTCCATCTATAAAACTTCTACATGGCATGGTTGAAAGAGCCAAGTCTGGACCTTTGACAAACACAGTAAACCAGTTTCGTCCGTTGGTTTAAAAATAGGGCAAACAGTACACAAAGGAGGTCTCTTGAGTTTCAGTTGTCTTCTATATCGTTTAAGAGCCTCACCAGATGGTTTGGTGGGTTTGCGGAAGTTTCCAGTGCTGATCTGCTGGACCAAGTTCTTGTGGTCTTGTCCGTCGAAAGGCATGGCTCCATGAACCAGGGTGTACAGCAAGACGCCCAGAGACCAGCTGTCCACCTCCGGTCCTCTGTATGGCCTGCCGTTCACAATCTCGGGCGAAGCGTACAGGGGACTGCCGCAGTACGTCTGCAGGAATTTATCACCCTGGTACAGGTTTGACAACCCGAAGTCAGCGATCTGAAAAACAGACAGTGGTTTCAGTGATTCCCATCTAGCGGTCGTTGGCCTTTCGCTCTGCAAGTTTTAAAACTGAAAGTAGATTTATGCCGTTATCTCAAGCAAGTTTCAATAGGGTGTTTGTCTTACGGCGTCTTGTTTAATAAACAGAAGTATCAGAGATAATGTTTCAAACAGACTATGAAAGTCAGGACAGAGAAAATGGCTTTAAAGGGTTAGTTCACCAAAAAATTTAAATTCCGTCATTAATTACTCGCCCTCATGTCGTTCCAAACCCGTAAGACCTTCGTTCATCTTCAGAACACAACTTAAGATATTTTTGATGAAATCTGAGAGCTCCCTGACCCTCCATAGACAGCAAAGATATTACCACGATCAAGGCAAGAAACGTAGCAAGGACATCGGTAAAATAGTCCATGTGACATCAGGGATTCAACCGTAATTTTGAAATATCTTAATTTGTGTTCTGAAGATGAATGAAGGTCTTACGGGTTTGGAATGACACGAGGGTGAGTAATTAATGACGGAATTTTCATTTTGGGGTGAACTAACCCTTTAAGGCCCATTCACACCAGGGACGAAAACTACTGTATAAAGATAACTATACAAGCGTCCACACCAGCGGACAATATCGTCTGTTTATTCTCAGCGCCTCTTTAAATTCTCGAGCTCGCGACAGCAGGATTGACTATGATTGGCTGTCAATGTTTTTATCGTTCATCAGCTGGAAAAAAATCGTTCTGAAAGTGATTCCAACTATTTCGTTTCTCTGTGCCTTTATCATTATAGTTGTGGTGTGGACTCTTTTTAGAACTATATCTTTATCGTTATCGTTCTTGGTGTGAACGGGGCTTAAGACTCTCAAAGGTCTGTCCAGGTCTGTTCAACAGTTTCCAATAAGGTTGTCCAGTCCTGATCCTGGAGGACCACTGTCCTGCAGAGTTTATCTCCATTCCTAATGAAACACAAAGCTAATCAAGGTCTTCAGCAGTGGTTCCCAATCCTGGTCCTGGAGAACCCCCAACAAGGCACGTTTTTTATGTCTTTCTTATCTGACGCGCATTTGAGGCCTTGGAGTCTTTACGATACGGTATAAGGTACGATACATTGGGAGTTCACCAGGACCAGGATTGAGAACCACTGGTCTTCAGGATTACTAGAAACATCCAGGCAAGTGTGTTTGGGGCAGGCTGGATTGGACACCCCTGGTTTACTACATAAATGAATAATAAAACAAACATTTATTCTGCTGATCATTCTTAAATGAGGTCCAATGATCTAGTTGTAAAACCTTCGTAAATTAAAAATTAATTCTGTCCCGAACTTACCTTTATATTGCCGTTGTCATCCAGCAAGATGTTCTCCAACTTCAGGTCGCGATGAACAATACCGTTCTGTTGGAAAAACGGAGATATTTAGAAACCACACCCGTCGATTTTTGTAAATCTGATCCGACTTTAAATTCTAAATAGATATAGCCCAGAAACGCAGTAAGGACATCGTTAAAATAGTCCATGTGACATCACTGGTTCAACCGTAATTTACGGAGCTACGAGAATACCTTTTGTGCGCAAATAAAACAAAAATAACGACTTTATTCAACAATGTGTTCCGAAGATGAACGAAGGTCTTACGGGTTTGGGCGAGTAATTAAAGACAGATTTTTCATTTTTGGGTCAACTATCCCCAGTGTTGGGGAGTAACTAGTTACATGTAACGTCGTTACGTAATTTAATTACAAAATAAATTTAACCGTAATATGTTACAGTTACTGCGAAAAATATGTAATTAAATTAGTTACTTTTGAAAATGTTAATGATTACAAAGGGGGTTACATCTGATTTTTTTCACACACATACAGATTTAATTGACTTCTTTCATAAATTGCATTGACTGCTCTAAAATATGAAACTTATTTTAGGACACAATTATGCGATAACTGTTTTATTTCCTATTTGTGACCCTGCAGCACAAAAGCAGTCTTAAGTCGCTGGGGTATATTTGTAGCAATAGCCAACAATACATTGTATGGGTCAAAATTATACATTTTTCTTCTATGCCAAAAATCATTAGGATATTAAGTAAAGATCATGTTCCATGAAGATATTTTGTAAATCTCCTACTGTAAATATATCAAAACTTAATTTTTGATTAGTAATATGCATTGCTAAGAACTTCA